AATGGATGCTATTGAATTGCGAGTAAATATTGTGAAAGACTTTCAACTATGCTTAATTATTTTTCAAAAAGTACTAATAGCTTATAATATATTAGCAAAAGAATTTTTACAAAGAAGAACAAAAAACTCATTACAATCAAATCCTCAAGGATTGGCATATTCCTGCAATTTATCAACAAGTAATAGAAACTGGTGATTATTATAATCGAAGAAAAGAAATGGATGTTTTTAATTCTAGAAATAGGTGGCGTAAAAAAGGTTTAGCTTTAATTCCAACTAAATTCGGCATTTCTTATACTACTTTGCATTTGAATCAGGCTGGTGCATTAGTACATATTTATAATGATGGAAGTGTTCTTATTAGTCATGGTAAGATTGTTATTAAACTAATAGATATTTGTAACATAAGTATTTGCCAATTAAATATCTAATGATAGTGCTGTTATTTAATAGGTGGTGTTGAAATGGGACAGGGTTTACACACTAAAATGATACAAATTGCTTCTGAAGCTTTGGATATACCAATAGAGAATGGTAAGATTTTCACCATAGTTTTTACTATATATATATATATATATATTCTTTGATGAAATTATTTATATAAGTAATTATAATAAATTTTAACATTCTTTAAACACAGTACATATTATGGAAACATCTACAAACTTAGTTGCCAATACATCTGCTACAGCAGCAAGTGTCAGTAGTGATATTAATGGATATGCATTGGCAAATGCTTGCAAAATATTAGCAGAGAGGTTGAAGCCATATCGTGAAAAAATGCCTGATAAAAAGTTTCAAGAGGTTTTTATTTTTAAGTTTTGTCATTGTCATCATTATTATTTTATATTTTATAAAATAATTTACAATTTATTTATTTATTTATTGGTTATAGATTTGTCATGCTGCATATATAGATCGTGTTAATTTATCAGCCAATGGGTTTTATAAAACACCTGATATTGGATATGATTGGGATAAAAATGAAGGAAACCTGTTTTTTTATTTTACAACAGGTGTTGCATTAACAGAAGTTGAAATAGATGTCCTAACAGGTGATCATCAAATATTAAGAACAGATCTTTGTATGGATATTGGGCGTAGTTTAAATTATGCAATTGATATTGGACAAATTGAAGGTGCATTTATTCAAGGAGTTGGGTGGTGTACAATTGAAGAGACTTTATTTTTTCCAAATGGCCATATTTTTACTAAAGGGCCTGGGAATTATAAAATCCCTGGTTTTAGGTAAGTATATTTAAAATATAAATTTGATTACATCTATAAAATACAATAAAATAAATATTATCTATTTCATCAGAGATATTCCACAAGATTTTAGGATAAGTACCTTTAATAAAGCACAATATTCAAGTTTAAAAACTATTCATAGTAGTAAAGGTGTTGGTGAGCCTCCATTGTTTTTAGGGAGTTCTGTATATTATGCAATAAGAGACGCTATTAAATATGCAAGGTAATAACAATATTACTTGTTAGTTGATTGGTTGATTGGTTGGTTAAATTATTTAATAATTTTAATCACTTTAATATATTAAGGAAAGCTAATGATAATCATAAAGTGGTAGTTCTTCAATCACCTGCCACACCTGAAAAAATTCGTTTGGCTTGTATGGATAAACTTACAAAGGCAGCAACAGTTGAACCAAAAGATGGAGAAAAAGAATGGATTATCACTGTATAATTTAAAATTTTAATTACATTTATTTATTAATAAATTCTTAATTATATTCTAATTAAAACTAGGGATATGCTTTAAGTTGTGACTTTGTTACCCACTAAAAAGATGCTAATATTTTTTTTATGTTCCTTTTTTCTAATAGTAATATATTAAATCTAGAAAATTTATATCTAATTTCAAAGATTCTATTGGCTGACTGAAAAAATCACTACCATAAACAAACTAAATCACTGGTATACAGTGAATCTTGGTTTAACAGCAATTAGGGAAAATTTTCCAAAAATCCATTATATCATTCTTTGAACTCGTTGAACAAATGACTTTTAATTAGTATCTGCTAAACCGAGATTCACTGCAGTCAGGGCTATTACCAATTTGTGAATTACCATATTTGTAAAGATTTGCATAAGTCATACCCTTTATGAATGACTGGTCATATTCCAACACCGCAAGCTTTAGCTTGTGAGGGGGGGGGGGTAAATATAAACACACAGATATATCTGATCAGCTAGTTTGTCAAATTATCCAACCAATACCCAAAGATTGATAAGATTGATAATGAGGGATATCCCTATAGTCAAACCCTCGTTTCAATGAACTTCGTTTCAGAGAATAATAATTAAATTCGTGTTACAACGAATTTTTAAAAATCTTGTTACACATTATGAAAACATACAAAAACACGATTATCTATCTTATATGTCCAGCCACTTTATTGAAACGAGGTTTGACTGTACTTGAAAAATAAAAAATTTTTTTTTTGTGTCCAATAATTTAAAACCCGAAGCTAAACCGAAATCGAACCGCTCGGAGCTTTACTATTATATGTTATCCCAGGCTGAAGTTGTATAAGGGATAAAGGTATAACCTTTTGAAAATTTTCTACATGGGCTGTGAATGTAATAAATAATTTTTACCCACTTTATTACCATTTTAGAAATGATTTTTGAGATTTCACAAAATCTATTCTATTAAAAAAATGATACTCAATTTTGGAGACCATTTCTACCCAAAATTTGAAATATACCATCTTCTAAGATTGCTTGGGTCCTCTAATAATAATAATAATAATAATAATAATAATAATAATAATAACAACAATAATAATATACAATGTTATAATTTTAGAAACTAATTAATAAACTACAAAAATTAAGTTATATCTCAATGAAAATAGCATCATTGATACCATTCCTAATAATACTAAAATGTTCAGAACAAGTATTTTTATCACCTACAAAATAAGTTGAATTCTTACTAATTAACCTATCCAAAATATAATGTATTCCTGTATTATAATTCTCTGAATTTCTTTTTTCCATTATTAGGCTAGAATTTATTCTTACATTCTTTAATTTCAAATCTGACTTTTCAAATTCATTCATTAAAAATAGATAGTTTTCATAGTTATTATCCTTATTTGTGAATTGATAATAAACATTATCAATCTTTGATTGTGATTTTAATTCTTGAATTTTTACAATTAGTTTATCCAAACAATTATCAATTTCCAATTCAGAATAATCATGATCATAATCATTATTGTTCTTTAGATTAAGAGTAATCGTCATGTAATTATTTAATTTTTTAATATTTTCATTTGCTTCTTGTAAAATTAATTTGGAATGTTTAATGAGATTTATTTCTCCAGGGTACATAATATTATAATATATTCCAAGATCATGTTGATTGATCATTATAATATCAGATTTCCCATTAAAACTGTTGACCAAGTCTTTTTTTAAATATTTCATCATCTCTTTGCTCGACTCAAAATTTATATAATTTATTCTAACTTCTTTAAATACCATTTTATCTAATAAATACAATCTTGTTAAATTAAATGCTCCTCTTCCTCTTTCACTATTATTGTTATTGTTATTAAATTGTTCTAAACATCCTTGAATCATAATCTCGTTCTGAACGTATTCCACCAATGGTTCTTCAAAACTTATTAATAGCTCTTCTGTCTCCTGATTCAACCTCAGATTTAAATTTAAATGTTCAACTTTTAATTCCAAATCTTTTCTTTTTTTATCATCATTACCATTAAAATTATTATGAATGATTTCATTACGTTCTATTAACCAATTTGAAAAATTAGACTGAGAAATAAATTGAGCTTCCAAAAATTTCGATTCAAGATTATCAACATCATAATAAAAGTCAAAAGGATATTTCTGACATGCATCAATTCTTAATTGACCACCAAGATTGTTATTATCATCATCATTGCCATCACTGAAACCGACATTTGGTAATACAATTGTGTATTCTAAAGATTTGGCTAAATTTATAAAGAATTTAAGTAAATTTGTATTTTTATTTGGATTTGTCAAGGAATCTCTGTTGCTATAGTTGTTGATGTTGGAGTATAAAAATAAAAATTTACATTGTGTTTTTCCACAGTATTTTTGATTTAATGATTCAAATAGGCTATTTTGTTCGTTGTTGTTTTTTTTTGTGGAATCATGTAACTCAAATTTACCAAATTTATTATTGGAGTTGTTAACGTCACCGTCATCATAAAATAGTAATAGTAATATGATGTTTAAATAAATCAGTGACAAAATAATACAAAAAATTATTAAATATTTTTTTTTTTCACTTTCCATCAACATTTTAGTATATTACGTAGTAAATTAGTAAATTAGTAAATTTTTTTAATTAATTATTAATATAATATTTCTCATACAAAATGACCTTTCCGTTTCCTATTCTTTCTATAAAAAATCAAAATGGTTTTTAGACTAGCGTATTTTGTTTTATTCTCATATCATACATTATTTCGAATTTGAACCATTTAAAAATTCCTAAAAAAAAAAGGAAACCTGATATATTAACATTATGATATATCTTCCAAGGATAATAATAGCTAGAGTTGAGCATTGGAAATAATATCATTAACAATTGCATAAATGTCGGCAACCAAAATTTTTTTTGTCAAGATTTATTGAATTTGGGAAAGTGCGTGTCTTATTTGACAATCATAATAATGTTATATAAAAATATATCATTCAATCAATTCTTTGAAGTTGAAGGTCGTCAGATTGAAAGGCTTAAAGATTTATTGATATGGATCAAAAAATGAGAAATTCAGAAACGAGTAATGAATAAAACTAGAAAAAATAAATATTCAATTTATTATAATTGTGGAAAGAAAAATAGAAAAATGGCTTGGTCCACCAATTATTTCTAAAGGTCGTAAATATCATAATCATATAAAATTAAATATACAAAGTAACCATAATTGTACAACAACATGGTATTTCTATTTCACTTTTTTTTAATAATAAATTTTTTAAACATTAGAAGAACTAGAGGCTTTGCTAATATTGTCTAAAGAATCAGCATCATAACTCAGAAGAGCCCTATTATCTTGATATACAAGACCGCCGTCTTCCCTGGTAATTTTTACTGTGAAATTAGAGCCATCTGCAAATTCAAATTCTGCAGAACGACCAGGTACCTTTTTCTTTAATCTGACAGAGTATGGTTTATCACAAACTGGTGAGTGAATGCTGGGGTAGTATTGATAATAAGAAAATATTGCTAATATAAAACCTAGAATCCAAAAAAAAATTTTTTTAATGAAAAATTTTCCTTTTTTAATAAAACAAAGTAATACCAATTAAATAATATTGCTACCAAGAGTACTTCCTGCAAACACATCTTGCCAATGATGACGATAATCTTGAGTTCTTGAAATACAAATAAGTATAGCAATGACCAAAGGAGTAACCACAACAAAGCTTTTGTATGTGTAGCCTTTTCTATCAAATACATGTAATTTTCCAGCGAGGTATAAGCTAAAATAACCCATACCAGCAAATGCAGCTATCATAATAAATGATATATTAGAATATTTGAGCATTTAAGCATTTGTATGTGTACATAGATCAATCATATACTTACTAGATGCATGTCCAGATACTAAACTTTTAAAACCATCTCTCAGAATTGCCTACTCCATCTGCACGAATGCATGATTTTTCTGTTTGTAAAGGAATCTCTCCGCTATGGAAATCGTATAAACGCATTGATTAGTATAACCAGAAATGCTATTTACAATATTAAAAATCAAATCAATAAAACTACTAGATATAGTTTGTTCTCCCAAATATCCAAAGTGCTGCATCAATTATTGGATGCACAAATCGATTTAGATAAGGTTTCTCTAATGTCTCAAGGTTGCGCAAAGGATTAAGAGCATTTAATGAAAATGCCTTGAAGCTAGATACAATTAATAATAAATCAGTAAATATTCATTAAGAACTTAATGTATTGTAATATTATTCTAACTTACAAATGGACCAAAGTTGGTTTAAGCAGTTTTTTGGTTTTTCCAATAATTTCATGCTCTGTATTACTAACATGTAATGACTCTACTGCAATATCCCATCCCTCTGGACCATGATCAGAATTGAAAAAGTCTGTCAAAAAGGAATGCAGTTCATCGATGATAAGCACATCAATAGAATCAAAGACTTGATGCAAAATTTTTTCGTGCAGATCTGTGTCAATAGCCAATGAAAATTTCGAAAATGGACACAGATCCATAATTGATCCCACACCAGTGGAGGACTTGAAGATATCTGCTAATTTTTTGTCAATTGCTGATGCAGTAACCGTTTCATGAAAAATGTTAGTAACAAATGATACCTAAATAAATAAATATCAATTAAAAGGCTTTATGGATAACAAATTGAAATAATCAAGAAGTGAACATCACAAACATGTTCGTCATCATTGTTTTCATCACTTCCATTCTCTTTATTATCATCCTCGTCATCCTCATCATCCTCGTCATCTTCATTATTCTCGTTATCAATGTGTTCTTCCTCGTGTTCCACTTGCACATTCTGTAATAAAAATTTTCCAAAATTTTTGATTGCGAGCTCTTTGATTGTTTTCGAAGGGTACGACCTTACCTTGTTTCGTGCTAAAGAGTTTGTTTCTTCATGAAGGTTTATGCTTGTATTGCGTATGGAACAACGAATTAGGATCTACACGCAAACCGGAGTATATAATTTTTGTCAATATTAATTACGTAAATCGAACCATCAAAATCTAGCATCTAGGCATACCGCAGCTTTCTCCTGCATCCATGTTTCCCAGTCTTGTAGCATTCTTGATTCCTATCAAGAAGAGAGCAGGTGTTAGGAGTATTTTACGATATGATATCAAGAATCCTATTCAATTACATACATCCAAAACTTCTTTCATTCTCTTGAGTTTGTCTCGTAATTCACAATCACCTGTTTGACGTATGGCCAAGTTGAGCAAATTATGATATTTGTTGGTTGCTTGAACTCTATGTGATGGGAATATGTGTCTAAAGAATGCGATAGGAGTTGAATCAATGCAGGCCAAAATCCAGTTGATGTGGCCTTCTTGCTGCATTATACCACGCGAGGACTTCTTGACCTTTTTCATTATAAGCTTGCAAGAGAGTAGAAAAATAAAAAAAATTGTAGTTTCTTGTTTTAATTTAACAAATAAGACAATCGTTAAAGCGAGTTGTTCTTCACATAAGACCGGCCATCGCATTTGGATGATGACTTGCCATTTCTGGCTTCCGACAGACTCTCTCTGTCGCAGATGCTTACTTTCATGCTTAACAGAACTATTGGTATATTTATAAAGAGAAAAATTTACTTAACCCACCTAAAAAAAAGAACATATATATATGTTTTAAGGTTGTCAAGAACAAACGCAGGAAGGCAAGAACAAAAGAATAAACCATGTAAGTTGGAAAATATAAAAATACCTTTAGAGAACAAAATGGAAATGCCTAAAAAAAAACTAATCACTATGATAAAAATCACGAATATTTAAAATTTTTGTATTGATTTCTTTATCTTGACTAACTTTTTTTCCTTTCTAGTTAGTATACGTATAGCAATTTTTTATTAAGAGAGAAGATTATTGTTTTCGCAAACAAAATTTATTATCCAATTGAATTTATTATTTACTTATTAGTTTAGATTGTTTATCAGCATATTTGAATTTTTTTTTTTACAAAGTCACATGAAATCGCACAATTATGCTAGTAATCACGGACCCATATTAATTATGCGATTCAATAAATTTTTATTTTATTTTCAAGAATTTCAAGAATGTTTAAAATCTAATTACCATTTTTCAAAACTTGAATCACTGGATGTTATTTTGCAATAAAGGGATTAATGTAAGATTACTATTTGAATTAACAAAAAAATTCAAATAATGTTAGTGTCACTAACTTCATCTTGATGATTTTGTCTAATCCATTTGAATATCAAAGTTTGGCTAAATCAACTAATTCATACGTAAAGTTCACCATTACTCAAAAACTCAAAGAAAAAACATTTACAAGAATACATAGAGCATAATATTAGTTTCATAATTGAGCACCCACTAACAATACAATGAATAAACCAAGGCTTGATGCATGTTTCGCAATGTCATTTTAATCTCAAAGTATTACAGTGCAGAAGCTCTATAATAGGAACAAATGTTGCCTTTTTTTAAAGGGTGTAGATCACCCAAAAAAAATTTTTAAAAAAAAGTACACTGTAATTTTGATAGCTAATGACCTTAACTTTAAAACTTACGGTTTAGAATTTTTTTTTATATATAAATTTTTTGTGCCACACTGTTTCAAAGTTTTACCATTTTAATATAGAGATCCAAAATTGAGAATGT